GGCCTACTTTGTAAATTGCCTTAAGAGGGTAGCTTCTGTAGGGTAAAGATTCTATTAAAGCCGGCCACAAAAATAAATATCGATTTTTTTCATATACTTTATAATTATTGTATCGATTTGTTTGGTTGTCGCGGTTGAACAAACCTATTTTTTTCAGAGTTAAATCGCGTGTATTTGTTAATATTAGACTAATGATGTCTATGGCCATGACCATGGGACCAGCAAACAGGTACTTTCGTTTGTTTATAAAAATAATTATAAAAAACCGATCTCAAAAGTTTGTGGAAGTACATCTATTTGCCAATTTTTATTGAATCGGTTACCGGAAAGTGCACGAAACCGGTGTTAGTAATGAATCCCCTAGTTTGTCACCTAAGGTGGAATATTTTCGTCAAATTGAAATGGGAGCAATACCGATGTACCGTCTTTCCAACAAAAAAGCATCAACATCGGTTGACAAATACCGCCGGAGAAAAAAAAAATCAAATTGAGAACCTCCTCCTTTTTTGAAGCCAGTTAAAAATATACGCGATTTAGCTATAAAAAAATATTTCACATCTTATATTTTTATTATACAGTAAATGTATGATGCACTGCCAAATTAATTACGTTATAACGACGCATTATTCGCAATAAAGTCCCTTAAGCGTATTAGGCGAATATAATGGGGTCCTAATTAGCAGTCGAGTTTTAGGGCTTAGTAAATTGTTATAAAGAGAATAAAGGCTTAATAACTATAGAATAGGCAATGCAACAAAACTAAAGTGCTGAGTAACACGCAACCGGTAGAGGGCAAAGTTCGCCTACATTTGCCTGGATAATTTATATCGTCTTTTTAAAGGGGATAATTATTATTCTATTGTATTGCCTGTATGTGTCTTTCAAATTGAAATTCTGGATTCTTCTTCTGGATTTGCTCTTTGTAAATAGGTACTTATTTGTTCTCATTTATTATTCACACTGTATTTCAAACCAACAACCAACAAAAATCTAAATGTGTAAACAATTGTAATAATTATTAATACAAAGATCCGGCTGGATTCGAACCAATGTCTTCCAGCAAACTTTGTCAGGTGCTATGCCAACTAAGCCACGCAACGAACTAGCGGACCTTATGAATTCTTCTAAATGCTTGTTGCAGATCTTTGTTTGTGGTTTTTAACGACTTTTTGCCATTACACTATATATGAGAAATCCATTTCGTTCCGTGGTTTAGTTGGCGTCTGGCACCGTTTGCTGGAAGATGTTGGTTCGAATCCAGCTAGATCTTTGTATTTATAGTTACTACAAACTAGTGGAGTAATTTTACAAAAATAATTGAATACCATGGTGGTCAAACATTTAATAAACTTAAAATTGTAAACAATTATTTTAATATTACTTATACATGCGTTACTTATGCATCCATTGCTGGACGTCCTCGTTTTTCCACGTTTTTTCACAACTATTCAATTCCCCTTTTAATTGAGTGGCTCCTCAATAAGTTATCCTCCTATGTGGTTACTTAATTTGCAAAAAAACTGCTGCGATTCTGTAGTGCTTCGAGCATGTTCGTTGAGGCACGCACAGACAGTTTCAACGCAGTATTACGCAAAAAAATGAACTCGCTTATAGACAGAGTGTGGGACAGTATAACAGCATCTTGAAGATTAAGTCTAAGAAATTTGATTGTCCTTCGATGTGGAAATTCACTCAAAGGATGAAATCATTGTTAATTATTAAGTACTAACGTAGGTTAAGACAATTGTGGACCTATGAAGTTCTCTGAATAAATAAATAAATAAATAAATTAACGATAAAAATATTTCTTTTCATTAATAAAATAATATTTTTTTAATCGCAAGGTTCTTTCTAATACACACTTCAGGTTTCTACGCTCAGTGTAATTTAGGCTACGATAATACTGCGTGGTATCGGGCAGTATATCCATAATAAGTTTAATAGGTGGATAGTAAAGGGCAGTGGTGTATTTAGGGACGGTATTTGGATATCTGTTACTGAAGTAACAGTTTTAGTAACAAATGAAAAGTGTCCAATGTGGATTGACTCAGAATGATTTCGCTAGTAACTACATCGCTAAATTATATTTTTTTCATCACACTTGCACGTACGTGACGTTGTGTTACATTACTTACGTAAATAGCATGATTGCATGCAGGCTGACTTGACTATAATGTCCCAAGTAAAACCCTCTGGCCTTTTTTCTTCTCATTACAGCCATGGTCGTATAATTATTATTTATTTTATTTTAATGAGAAGGAAGTGCAAGTATGATGAAAAACATTGTATGTTTCATGTATGAGCGTTATGAACCTCGTCTTCGGGCGAAGTTCTGAACCAAAATTCTATTATCTATGGTACTCGCTGCAGAACTGAAAAAAATCATTATCATATATAGGACTATAAATGAGTTTCAAAAAAAGAACGTCGTGTTTTTGCTAATGAAAAGACTCTTCTTAAACGCGTAACTGTGTGTAAAAATTCTAATTATTTTATTAAATATAATCTTAAAATGATACGTAACAAATACAAAGGCGTAACCATTTGGCAAAAATGAACTATTTAAAGACTATAATCAAATATGTCGTTGATCAAACGCTCTACTGCCTCCTGGTTGGTTAAAATATAAGCGGTACTTGGCCAATCACGGACACATCTATTCTGTCTCTATAGTTTTTTATTTTGTAGCGCTTGTTTTGAGTTTGTTGTTGTGAATTATTAACTAACAACTTTAAATAGTGGGTGTTCCGTTATGCTACATTATAATTTACTCGTAGAAAAAGTACTGTATGCAATCATTATATAATTAGGTCTTAAAATCTAAAAAAATACCTATTACTTAGGCCGCGAGGCTTTCGACTTCAAAAATCCTCATTATGTAACGATTGCATAAAATGCTGTTATCGGTTTGATATTAATAGTAATTAAGTTGAAAATACTTGTTACTTTTAACTGTGTTGATAATATGCCTTACTTCTCGTGGGAACGTCCATCAGGCGTTAAGCAGTCACCGGGGCATTACACATTCATGACAGGGCTGGGTCCGCATCGATCATGCATCGGTTAGACACCCTTCGACCTTGTGGAGCCTTCCTGAAACATAATATATTTGCCTTAATGCGGTTCTGCTCTGTAATTACTACCTGGTAGCTTTTGAAAATTAGTTCTTACCATTTTGAAAATAAGTAGGTTTTCAAGTTGACGGTATTTGTTTCCCTGTAGTGGAAATAGTGATGAAGGAGACTCAGTCTTTTAAGGCCCTTTAAAAAACCTCGACAAATTTTTAACGCCTCACGACTAGTCTAGTCTTTTAACCCTCAAGTCTTGAGTCATAAGACTAAAACTGAAGACTAATTCGAGTCGAAGTCTTTTAACCCTAGGAAGCTTAAAAGACTTATGGGACTTAAACGACTAAAAAGACTAAAACGACTGACGCCTCATAGCCTCGGGAGTCGCGAGTCATGAGCCGTGTGGCGCGATTTTATTTCTACCCACAAGGCATTTATTTTACGATTTTTATTATAAGTAAATAAACGTGATTATTTACTATATACTATTTACGCCATTTTTATTTATAAACTTCAGGTTTAATAAGACATAGAACAGGTATAAGTCCTTTGCAAACAACTCGAGTCGTTTAAGTCGTTCAAGTCGTTTAAGTCTTTTAGTATAACGACTGAGTATTATTAATAAAAACCCGAAACCCCAGTCTTAATTTTAGAGTCGAGTCCTGTAAAATGGAGTCGAGTCGAGTCGCTATAAAACGCCTTAAAAGACTGAGTCTCTTCACTAAGTGGAAATCAGATTGAAACCAAAATTAATATCACCCTAAAGGTATGTCCTGTTGATAAAAAAAGAATTAAATTGTTCCATGAATGGTGACGATATGAGGTAATAATACCGTACACACTCAACATAGCCCCGCACTGGGGAAACCCTGTGTGTCGGGTGCCATGGACACACACATAGAAAACTACAAATTACACCCAAACTCGCGAGAGAAATAAATGTAGACCATACAAATATTTCTGGGAATCGAACCTGGAACCTCTGCGTAGCAGTCCGGCTTGGTAACCGTTCGGCCACGGAGGCAGTCTAACTAGTAGTAGTCTAGTGAGGTAACCTCCCACGACTTGTCACGGGCGTTCTCCAACAAGAAAATTTAGCTGTTTAGGACGTTACTTTTCTTTATAATATAAATTGACGGGACGAACAAGTCGTGTGCCTGGTAGTAAGCTACACACCTATCCAAAACAGTTGCAGTGACACTCAGAGTTTTAAATCGCAAAGATCTAAGGGGCACTGCCACTGCGCCTGTCTCCCTGAGACATAAAGTTGACAAGTCCCTTGTACTCGTAATTTCAACCCCTACTCTTCAAAACCGGAACGCGGTTATATTCACATTACTTGGCGGCAGAAATTGGTATGGTAAGTATTTGCTTGGACGAACTCTTTGACAAGGAACTCTACTGCTACAAGACTTCACCAGTTTTCGAAGGTCTGCAAACCTTCTTCGACTAGCAGATTTTTGCCAGATGTTTTCCATAGCCGTCAGTGAGAGGTGAATGCCGCCATCGGGATTGAAACCGTCGTCATCTCACTTAAGAAGCAACCATTCTTCCAAAAGCGTACCACCGCTTGTCTCCAGAAAAGATCGATTACTTTCAGATAGTTTCTTGTGTAGACATTTGTGTGATACCATCATCCATGTAAGCATATTGTTTAGTACAAAATGTAAAGCCGGATGTCCTACCCACGTTCGATTGGACATTTTTCATCGCAATCTGGAAGTCGTATATCAGGCATCATCAGAAATGTTGATAAACACTATTAGCCTAGACTAGGAACACACTCAGAAGCAAATACAGCTAAGTCATGACAGCATTTTCGTCTTTCACCTTGGTCTTATCGGTACAGCGGGCCTGTTATAAGGTTTATCTTGCTGATCTTCGATCTTCCTCTTATGTAAAGCATACTAAATATGATTATTCTTGTTACAGGGCAGGTATCCGAGGCGGCCCGGGCATGGACTCGCAACAGCAACAGTACTGCCTTAAATGGAACAGCTTCGGCTCCAACCTGGCCACGTCGTTCGCCAATCTCTGGAACTCAGAGAGTCTCGCCGATGTTACTCTGTACTGCGAGGGTGAGTTTTAACATTTTGTAATCTTTGGATTTCAAATTTCAACTCGAATCTAAGCCATCCGATTGGATAACTCAATCTCAAATAACTTTTATTTCCGAGGTAACAAATTACACTTGGAATCGTCACATTGTTTAAAATCTATTACTCATTCGTAAGGCAGATTCCAAAAGAATGAGTAAGAAATTCAAGGGGTTCTTTTTGTCTAGTAAATGTCTATTAACTTTAGCCTTCAGTGGGCTTAAATAGTAACTCAGGAAGGATGCAAACCAATTTGTGCTAATGGCTTATAATTCAATGACATAAGAATGAAATGTTTCGGACTTTATACTTTTGGTGTACCCGAAGAAGGAATAAGGGAAGTAAATTGCGAAATCCCGTCGAATATCATCGAAGCGATAGAAAATAGCCAAGCAGGCCATTATTCAGCGGTGATTGAGACTAGAAGCTTCGATGCTACACGAGAGTTGTTGCTAATTAGTCTCTCTTTTGCTTTTTGTTCCATCAAGTCTAAAGCAACTTACTAGTATAGGTCAGAATCGCTAGAAAGGTGACAGCAATACTCCTAACACGACCGAACTTATGCTTGATAAAGATTTAAAAGCTGTTTTGGTGTAAAGAACCTCCTGAAAGGAAGCTCAATTTTTGGTAGCTCTTTTTTATTGACATGCTTTAACACAATCATTTAGCCATAACGAACATAGTTTGTAGTTATAATAGATAATAACTTTTTATTAAATAAAAACCGATCTCAAAAGATTGTGGAAGTACATCTGATTGCTAAGTGTTATTGAAATTTATTAACGGAAGGTGTATGTAATCTAATAAACCCGATTCATCCCCCATTTGCCACCCTCAGAGGTGGTATATCTTCTTCAAATTTCAATGGGATCACTACCAAAGTATCTTAGTTCCATCAAAAAAGAATTATCGAAATCGGTTCAGGAATTGCGTGACATAGTGACAGTAGACTCTTTAGTCTAAGTTTTTTACCGTCAAACTTATGTTTGATGATGAATTCTTTCTCAATTACTTAGTAATTTAACTATATGTAGATTGTATATCAACCTTAAAGTTACTTGGTACTTTCAAAGTAGACTACGTTTGTTTTGACTTCAAACAATATGATTTTCAACAGCGTAAATATGTAAATTGAAACTTTGGAGTCAATTCGTTTATTATGAGGTTATGATCGTGCTCGCTATCGAGTTACTCGGCAGTAAACACTGTCAGCATTTCTTTATAACTTAACATCAATAATTTTAAGAAGTTCTTGTTAATGGTATCCCCTTTTACTAGTAAGTAAAATAATAACATGCTTACTTACCCGTTGGCTTAGCAACCCGAAGTGTGTCTTGGCCTCCGAGACGGACTGGAACTGGGACGAGATCGCACAAGAAATTGGCGCCAGAACACATTGTCTTGTGCGATCTCCTCCCAGTTCTCTGCGTGCAGGTCATGGAGGTCTTATTTTACTTCGTCCCTCCATCGGTATATTGGCCGACCACTAGGACGTGTCATGTAGGCTCTTTTACCGCCCTATGAGCTGGATCCTTCCGAGATGTGCGAGCGAATGGCATCTTGCAGACTTGATCGTTGTGTCTATAATCTTTATGTCATACAGTTCTTTCGGATCCTCCAGCTACCATCTTACCTCCGTCTTGGTCCCAAAATCTTACGGAAGATTGTTACCAAGAACATACTAAATGTATTATTGAGATTATTTGTGAAATAACTTAGTTTTGTTATGATTATTTATACAAATTGAAGTGAAGAATGCACTAAAATTTCTCATTAGATGTCACTAGCGGAACAGAATGCCGAAAAATCCTGTACAAAGATATTTAACAAAAACACATAGGAGAATTTCAACAACTCGATAACTTGACCTGTAGCTCAGTCGGTAGAGCAGCGCTACGGTACAGCGTGGTCATGGGTTCAAGTCCCATCGGCTCGAAGAATTTTTTCTGTGTGTTCGATCTTTATATTAATAATCATAACAACATACTAAATTAAAATTTTATAATAATCCCGATACGATACAGTGTGCTTCAAAAAGGTCAATAAAGTTACCATCCGTAAGCTAACAACGCAGACCTATTTATTGAGCCCAAATACGATAGTTCTACTGTAAGTAGTTGAAGAGTTAAGGAGTCTGCAGACTATCCTGATTGTAGCATCAGATCAAGCTTACCATTTTATTGTGACGTCACCGGATTGCCATAGTATACCAATTTTCAAGACGTTTGGACAAGTGCCATTGAAGTTAATATTCATTTTATGACTGAGATCTTTACACGAACTGAGAAAAGAGTTGATGGTCTCTAAACAGCCTGGACAGACGTTTATCGATCATAGCAAAGAACTATCCCGATCAAATTAGCTTTCAAATAAAAAGAACCACTCCATTCGTTTGGGAGTTACATTACGGTGCCACAGACATACGGACAACCAGAGACTTAGATACAAGAACCTTTTTTATAAAAAAATAAACCAATTAAATTACCACCTCAATCAACCGTGACCATGGGACCTGTAAAGGGCCGGAACGTCGGTTTGTTTGAAAAAACAAATATACGCGATTTAAATCCGGAAAAATAGTTTCATTTCCTATGTGTAACAATCGCGAAAACCTAAGAACTCGATAAAAATAAACCTGACCTATAATAAATAAATATGACCTTTCATCTATTTAAAGCCAAGTTTTATTGAGAACGGTTAACGGAAAGTGGTTGAAATCCAATAAACCTACTTTTTATACCTTAATGTGCTACCCTTAGAGGTGGAATATATTCTTCATATTAATAAATGAGGCCAATTCTGAGGTACCCTCTTTCCAACATAAAAAGAATCATCAAAATCGGTTCACATATACCGGAAAAAATCACACAAGAAATTCAGTCGAATTTAGAACGTCCTCCTTTTTATGAAGACGGTTAACGGATGGGTTAGTTTGAATTGCTATACTGAAAATTTACTTTTCAATATAATCGTATCTCCGACAGTAAAATGTCGTAATTCGTAAAGTGAAATTGTTCGGAAGCTGACTAAAATTAACACTGAAACAAAATCTTACGAAATATAATCAGTATATTGTTTTTCATATCAAATAGAAATCCTGCCAAATGGCATAGTGCCACGTAGTTTTAAAAAAAACTTTACTTATTATAGGCGCTTTTATTTTGCACTTCCTGCAAAATAGCGGTGCTGCTTTGCGGTGGAAATTTTGACACAAAGGAAACAGACTTACCACCGATGGTACATATGGTTGCATCAAGTTTCCCACTTTGGACTTTGTCCGTTCTTATCAAGCTTGAAGTGCTTTATTTTTCGAATTAAGTCACATTATTATTTAAGGTGCAATTGTATTCTCACACTGTATATTTTGATTGTAATGTATGTGCATCCGGCAATATAATAATTGGAGGAAAAATACTACATGCTATAGCAAATAACAATTATATAAATTAAATGACATAAAATACAGGAAATATTATACTTACTCAATATGCTTAATATAGAAGAATATTTTTTATATTCAAGTAGAAACGTTTGAAATCGTCATTTTATTAACCGACTTCAAAAAAGGTATAGGTTCTCAATTGTACTGAATTTTTGTATTTGTGTGTTTGTTACATTGACATTTGTGAACCGTTGTACAATGTACACTGTTGAGTCGTTTTGACGAGGACTTCCAAATGCGTTTCAGTAGAGGAGACCGCGGTTACTAACGCGGGAACTAACTTTTGAGGTCGGTCTTCCTTTTATAAAAAAAGTTGTAACATTCAATGGTTTGCTTATTTTGAAAAAAAATCTGTCGAGAAGAACTTTTTTGAGTCAAGGGTATTTGAATGGCCCATTGCGTTTGGGAACGTCACAAGTTTGCCAGGGGTTGTGAACCTTCTTCGAGGTGCAAATACCTGGAAGTATTGCTAGTAAATATTTACAAAACATAGCTTAGCAATTGAAATAATACGGATTGAAACCTTGGACCTCTTAGAGAAGCAACTGTTTTTTCTGCCAGCCTACCATGTTGTATAGAGAGGTTAATGAGAAAACTTTGTTAAGAACAGAATTGCGTTTATTCAACCGAGAGCGCAGGTTTTAAATTTAATTGAGACCTATGCCTGCGTTATAAATTCTAAGATGATTATCTCTGGAAATAGGTTTTTTTTACCACGGTATTCTTATTATCCTAAAGTAACGGAATATAAACATTGTAATTGTTTATTTAAAATTATTGTTGCTAAAACTTTAACCAAGTTTCATAAGGAAATTATTAAAGTTATTACTAATATAGACTTAATTGTTTTCACGCAATATAAGTGGCTATATATCTGCAGAAATAATTCGTAGTTTTGGTCTATTAAAGCCACGTGATTTTGCTTTAAAAGTGCTTTGAAACAAATTGCGTGTATGTAAAATTTTTACGATCATTCTCGGATTAGCGTTGACTACCTAGTTTCCGTGGCAAATTTTATTGTTTAAATATTTCATTTGTTATCGTGCAATTATTTAATATATAAGTATTGTATCGTGAAATATTATTTAATGATTACACGATAATATACTTGAATATTTCAATAATAAAAATTGCCACGGATATTAGATAGTGAACACTATTCCGAGATTGACCGTCATACCTCTCCTACTCGTATGTAAGAAAAAAAATGCCGTCATAGAATCTTCAATCTGTCTCGTGAAAAATTATGATTTTGCAGATGTGGACTTATTACACCAAAGGTACTAATTAGTCTTATTCTACGACCTCGCCATATATTCATAAGTGAAACGTATTCGAGTTTCTATATCAATTTGTCGTCTATGAACGACATCTTTTTATGACCTCCGTAGTCGAGTGGTTTGCAACCGATTTTCATGGTGTCGCTATCTGTGAGGTCTCGTAGTTTGTAGGTGTTTGTGGTACCGTCGTTGTTTCCGATTTCCATAAAACAAGTGTTTTAGTTACTTACTTTGGGATCACAGCAACGTTTGTGATGTTG